ACAACAGCAACCCTGGGCACAACAACAGCAACCCTGGGCACAACAACAGCAACCCTGGGCACAACAACAGCAACCCTGGGCAGAACAGCAACCCTGGGCACAACAACAGCAACCCTGGGCACAACAGCAGCAACCCTGGGCACAACAACAGCAACCCTGGGCAGGACAGCAACCCTGGGCACAACAACAACAACCCTGGGCAGGACAGCAACCCTGGGCACAACAACAACAACCCTGGGCAGGACAGCAACCCTGGCAGAAGGCAGGGGACAGGCTGGGGCACTCAGGGCTCTGCCCACAGCCCCCCAATCCCTGGCAGCAGCAGGCTCTGTGCATTCCACAGGGTCCCTGCTGGGGATCCCAGATGCCCAGAAGGACAGGCTGGGCAGCCGTGGTGGCTCAGCAGAGCTCACTGTGTGCTCAGCCAGGCTGCCCCAACACAGCCCTGTCCAAAACAGCCCAGGCAGGCTCTGTGGCACAGGCCATGTCCCCAGCAGGGCACATAAACACATTCCTCCCTGGAGGTCACCCAAACAAGGGCTATCACTGCGCTCCTGTTGGAGCACTGCAGGACACCTTGGAGCAGCTCCACCACCGGGACACGCTCAGGGACACAAATCAAACAGAGCAGCTCAAAACTGGGGATTGACAGGGCTGATCCCTCCACAGCAATTCCCCAGGAGCACCTTCCCTCCCTGCCCTGCTCCCAGGACAGCAGGCTGTGGAACAGCCCCGTGCAGAGATGATTGCTGGAAGGACAAAACCCATCGGCCACATCTGGCAGGCGGGGGATGATTCAGCAGCAAAAGCAGCTGCACTCAGCAAGGGAGTTTTCCTCTAGGAACAGTGTTTGTGTCGAGCAAATAAAATAAGTGGGAAGGGGGATGGAAAACACCCGTGGGCTCCCTAAGGAAGCTTCTGCCTCCAACCTCTGCTGGTGCTCGTGAAGGGACAGGGGTCTGTCACTCAAGGCTTGGGGACACCAGCCCTTCCCTGGGTCACTCACAGAGCTGCAGCCATGGCTCACCCCACACACAGGTAACCCTAAATCCAGGGAATGATCGGGTTTGGAGCAGCCTGGGGCAGTGGAGGTGTCCCTGCCCAAGGCAGGGGACAGAATGAGAGGAGCTGTCAGGTCCCTCCAACCCAGCCCACCCTGCTGCACAGCACAGCAGCTCCAGGGAGATCCTCTGCAGGCACATTTGCCTTTCCAGTGTGGATCTGTGCACCAGCAGAGGCTGTTAATCACCAGGGACTGCTCTCAGACACGGAAAAGGGCACACAAGGAAACACAATATGCTTTTGCCATTAATTGCAAAGTGTGCACACAGCGAGAAGGAAGCTCCCTGCAGAGGTCAACAACAACCATCAAACACAGACACTGTCACCCTACACCCTCTCACCGAGGAAAAGCTTTCATTCATTGTCTGCTAATCCMCCAACACCACAGCAGCAGGGCTTTAGCCAAGCCCCAAGCCTGTAAGATCCCTTCCTTTTACAAGCAATCCCTTCCGTATACAAAAAAATACTTTTCCTCTACTGCCTCAAATCTTTTGGAGAGAGATTTTTCAGGATGAGAGAAAGTTTCCAAGTTGAGGAAAGGGCTGCTGTAAAAGGTCCAAGGGTGAGGCTCCTCCAGTGTCCCAAGGGTCACCCCTGCTCTGCTGGCAAACCCTCGGGCTCCTGGCTTGGCAAAGGTCACTCCTGCCCAGCCTGGCTCTAGGGATGTTCAAATTCCACTCTTTCCAAAACAGCTCTGGTAACAAGCAGGGCTTAAAGCACAAGGATGAATTTGAAGATTAAGCCTCACATACAGGTCAGTTTTCATGGACCAACCCCTCTGAAATGGTGCAGGGCTTAAACAGAAGGATGAATTTGAAGATTAAGCCTCACACACAAGCCAGTTTTCATGGACCAACCCCTCTGAAATGGTGCAGAGCATTCAAGAGGCTCTGGTTATTCCTCAGACAATAAAACCCCATTAAATGAGTGTATTTTTATGCCCACACGCTGCTTTTCCTGTTGKTAACACACTCTGGAGAAAACGGCCCCAAACCCAGAAAGTTTCTCGTGAAATAAAAAGCTTCATTGACTTTCCAGCATTAGTCACTGACAAAGGGTGGGAAATCTGAGAGGAGAAGCACTGCTGGGAGGTGAAGGGCCTGTGGCCCACGGACACGTGTGGGAACAGGCTGGGTTATGGGTTATAAAACTCCCAGAACTGGGATTGTGACTAACGTGGAGACAAATCCCTGCCCTGCAGCACTGCCAGCCTTCAACATCTCGCTCTCATTAATTATTCCCATTTCATTGTATCTCCAGAGCCAAAATATCCTTACCAGCAACTTCCAGAAGTGATGTGTATAGAAAAAAAATATATTAACATAGTACAAAATTCACAGACCTTGATGGTTTGTGTTTAGTTTTGTAAATTCCTACCATAGGTCAAAYATTCTGAACAAAACCAGATTGTATCTTTTTTTTTTTTTTTTTTTTTAGCAGAAGCTGCTGCTGCTTCATTCCTGCATTATAATTGCT